GTGACCCAGGAGCGGCCAAGCGGGCCCGCAGACAGCAGAGAACCATGGGAAGCGGGCCTAAGCTGTCAGTAGGACATCCCCTGAGGGCTCCCGGATTGGAGAGGGTGCAGGTCGGGCTGAGGGACCCCTCCTCAACACCCACCCCTGTGCAGAAATTTCATGCACCAGGCCTCTAGTCCTATATAATAAAGAGCTAATATGCTAATTAGACCAGACAGCAGAACGACCAGTGGGTGGAGCCGCGGGGCTGCGAGGCAGCCGAGGCCAGGGCTGTGAAGGCCTACTCTTGCACAGATTTCGTGCATCGGGCCTCTAGTTTGGCTATAAAAGGAAATGAAGTATTGACACATGCTACAACATGGATGAACCTTAAAATATGCTGTGAAAAAACTCACAGAAAACTACATATTGTATAATTATATTTATGTAAAATATCCAGAATGGGCAAATTTATAAAGACAGAAAATACATGAGTGGTTACTTAGGTGAGTGAGAATTGACTGCCAAACCATATGGGATTTGTTTTGGGTGGGGAGACAAAAGTGTTCCAGAACTAGACAGTGGTGATAGTTGCACAATCCTGTGAAGAACCTGAAAACCACTGAATTGCATACTTTCAGTGAATTGTATAGCAGGTGAATTACACCTCAATATATCTCATTTTTAAAAACCATCAGTGAGGACAGTGAGGGTCCTATACCCTCCCCAGCTGCAGTGAAAGGAAAATACATGGAACAGTGGAGAAAAGAATCCATCTGATGCCTCAAAAAGTGAAGCACAGTGAAAGCTGACCCCTTCAGATTCCCACTACCTTGGGATACTGGGCAGTCCTCCTTCAGTTCGCTTGGTTTTTGTTTGTTTTCCTCCTAATGTAAGTAATCTGTAAGAAACAAAAGATTCACATTCTTTCCCAGGACTGATCACTCCTAACCCTTTAATTATGAAACAAAACCTCTCAACTTCTCCAAGGGTTCCATCTGTAAAACCCAAGTATTAATTAATACCTGTTCCAGGAGCCTCACAGAACTGCTAGAAGGATCAAAGCAGAAAATGAATAGAACTAGTCAAGGTGAGAGGCTACAATATCACAAAGAGGGAGCAAGCATCCCTCTGCCTGGGTTTCTGGCTTAAGCAACTCAGGAAGACGAAAGAGAGAGAGAGAGAGAGAGAGAGAGAGAGAGAGAGAGAGAGAGAGAGAGAATGAATATATGAGAATGAATACGATAGAAATTTGGAAGGAGTGATGTTGGGCTTAAATCTGGATATGTTACATTTAATATGTTATGTAATTAGGTACTTGAATAGGCAAGTCCAGAGCTCAGGAGAGAGACTGATATTGGAAATTTAAAAAGCGAGAAATATTTGAAAGAATGAGATCACACAGGGACAAGGTGCAGAGCAAGAAAAAAGAAAAGCAAGGTCCAGAGCCAGCAGTCCTGAAACAGCAGCACTGGGAAGGTGGTTACGAAGTAGCTGGGGAGGAGGAAGCCAGGAAAGAAAACGTTAGAGGACAAAGGAGAAGAGAGTGCCAGCAGAGTCAAAGGCTACCGAAGGCAGGTAAGGTAAAGAGAGATGGTGACAACCCGCCGTTCCCAGCGACCTCGGCAAAGGGGTTTCAGAGCAGCACTGGGAGCTCAACTCAGCAGAGGGCAAGTGAATGGCCGACAATAAAAAGAAACCAAAGTCAAGCACACACTTCGCAGCCAGCATATGCTCCTTAAAGAAGAAAGAGAGAAAGTATGAAGACTCCCCGGATGCATCAAAGAGCGAGAGAGATTAGGACTCATTCACACAAACTGAACATGAATCTGCACTAGTCTGGCCCTATTTAAAGCTACTGGAAATGCACAGGAATATGTTGTTAATATCCATATACATTCGAATGCCCATACAAGGCCAGACTGAGAAAACATGGGTTTACTTTTCGCTGCAAACACTCAGGACGAACTAAAAACACAGAACCCTATGAAAATCATTCCCTGCACCACTCCCACCACAAAATATTAAGCAAATAAAAGAAGAAATAAAACATTACAGTGCAGTTAGCTCAGTTGCTTA